TTTTCCAAACGATAAGGGATTATATTAACTCAAAAGACAAACATACAAAGTTCGAATCACCCTCGAGTGACATAATTTCCCCCAACAACCAAAGCTTAGTTTAGGGGAAATTAAGGGGGGAATCATACAGCATGAAATGTTCCCCCTCCACAAAAAGGAACTAAAACAAACCTGCCAGCAAAAACAAAAGGACCTATACACAACTACCCTGTACACAAATATTAACAACCTGGGACCCACAATAAAATACAAAACAAACAAAGCTAAGAACAACCAAACCAAAGCCCCTTCCCAGAAACAGCATCAGAAGTGAGAGCCTTCACAGCAATTAGAGGGGACCAAAAGGAAGAATCCCTGAAGAAAGAAAACTGATGACAAGAAGGCCACCCTAGACCATACTTCAGGCTCCACCCCTAGCACTCCTCCATACAATAAATCAGATCCCATCAGCCCACAGATGCTCTCAATTCCTCAAACTCTCTCCATTCTCCCATAGCTCCTTCAGCTGTCTCTCTTTCTCCCAACCAAGTGTTTCGAAAGATCCAATTATTTCTCGTCTTCCATAGCCACCACAATAAATAAGTTGTTAGACTTATTCTATCTTTAAGGCATCGGGCATCATCAATCCTACAAATTGCACCCCACCACTCTTTAAAGGAGCTCTGTTTCATCTTTAACCCCTCCCAGCCAATGCCAGCAAACTTCCAGACTAATTGAGCCCTCTGACAGAAAAAAAATACGTGACACAGATCTTCCAACTCCTGCCCACAGCAGCTGCATATAGGGTCCACCTTCATCCCCCTCTTAAGCAGTTTGTCCTTGGTTCCCAGAAAATTGAACCAACATCGCCATATGAAATTTTTTATTTTGGTTTTGATTTTCAGCTTCCAAGTCACCTTCCACACTTTTTTACTAATCTCCTGCTCCATGCTAGATTCTGGCAAGTTCAGTCTAGTTCTGTACTTTAACTCAATGATTTTATATGCTGAACTAACTGAGAACGTGCCATTCTGGTTAAGGCTCCATATCATCTTATCTTTCTCTGCAGGTCGCCTAAGTGGTATTTTTAGAATTTGTTTGGCATCTTTCGGATAGAATGTTTGCAGCACCAGATCCCTATCCCACCTAGTGCCTTCTTCATTCAAAAGTTCTTTTACCCAAGTTAATCTTTCTCTATCTGAACTGAACTGCAGCAAAGGTTTAAATCCAGGGATTTTAGGAATCCAGGGAGACTCCCATATTCTAATTGATTTTCCATCTCCCACCTGATATCTCAGCCCTAACTTCATTGACTCTCTAACCCCTAGCCAAGACTTCCACAGCCAAGAGTCTGAATATCTGGGATTAACTTCAAATAGGTCTTGATTGTGAAAGTATCTACCTTTTAACAGTCTGGCCACCAACAAGTTGGGATTGGTTTGGATCCTCCACAATTGTTTTACCAGCAATGCATCATTAAAACAGATAAAGTTCTTGAATCCCAGTCCACCTTCATTCTTTGGTCTAGCCAATTTTTGCCAAGCACTCCAATGAATTTTGTTCTTTCCTTCCTCAGATTTTCCCCACCAGAACTCGGCTGCACTCCTGCATAGTTCTTCACAAATACTCACAGGTAATTTAAAGCATGACATTACATAAGTGGGGAGAGAACACAAGACAGCTTTGATTAGAACTTCTCTCCCAGCCTCACTCAGAAAACAATTCTTCCAGTTAGAGATTTTGGACAAGACAGTGTCACACACATACTTAAAAGTTTCTTTTTTTTTCCTCCCAATACCTAAAGGGAGGCCTAAGTATTTAGTAGAAGAGACTACCATAATACCATCAAAAACTCTGCAAACTTCTGATTTGGTAGAAGCTAGGGTGTTCTTAGAGAAAAAAATAGAGGATTTAGAGATATTAACTGACTGCCCAGAAGCCAACCCAAAATCCCTAAGAAGATTCAAAAGAATAGAGGCATGATAGGAGTCTGCCTTACAAAAAATGATTGAGTCATCCGCAAAAAAAAGATGGGTTATCACAGGGGCATTTTTTCCAATCTTAAGGCCCTTGAATGATTGAGAGTGGCAAGCTATCTGTAAGAGATTAGAAAGAGCCTCAGACATCAAAATGAACAAAAATGGAGAAAGAGGATCTCCTTGTCTGATACCTCTAGAAGGAGCAACAAGACCTAGAGGTTGGCCATTAAGGTTAAAAGAGAACGAAGAAGAATTCAAACAAACCAAAATCCAAGAAATAAAGATACTGCAAAACCCCATTTTCTGAAGGATCAAGGCTAAGAAAGACCACTCAACTTTGTCGTAAGCCTTGGCCATATCCAATTTGAGGGCCATAAAAGCATTCTTGCCTTGTCTTTTACTATTAAGATAATGAATACATTCATTGGCAATAACAACATTATCCAAAATTTGTCTGCCAGGAACAAAAGCAGTCTGATTAGGAGAAATGATAGTAGTCAAAACAGGTTTAATCCTATTAGCTATGATCTTAGAGATAACCTTGTAAGAAACCGTGCAAAGGCTAATGGGTCTGAAGTCAGAGATATATTGGGGGTTCTGAATTTTAGGAATTAATGTAATGGTAGTGTGATTTGTGGCTTTAGGCATTCTGCCTGAGTTAAAGAAGTTTTTAATAGCCAAACAAAACTCATGCTTAATGACACTCCAGGAAGATTGAAAGAAATAAGGCGTCATACCACCAATACCAGGAGCTTTATGGGGGTGCATTTCCATCAGAGCCTTTTGTATTTCCTCTTCTTCAACAGGGAGAGTGAGATCTTGGTTTAGTTCATCTGTAATGGTGCGTGGGATGCCTTCAAGATTACAGCTGCTGAGGTGAGGATTTGAGGTAGTAAACAGCTCCTTGTAAAAGTTCACAATTTCCACCAGGGTTTCCTTCTCATCTTTGCATTTATTACCATCCCTCCTGATCAGATTCTCAATACTGTTCAATTTCCTTCTTTGCCTCACACAGGCATGAAAATACTTTGTATTCTGATCCCCTCCTTTCAACCACAACACTCTGGATTTTTGTCTCCAATAACACTCTTCATCCTTGTAGGCTTGCTCCAGTTTAGCTTTACAATCAGCCCAGGCACACCAATCTCTCGACCCTCCTGCTTGCATTAATACTGACAATCTGGACTTGTATGTTTCAATAAGGATAGATGAGTTGGTAACCTGCTTTGCTTTCCACCCCATGAGAGCCAACCTGACATTTTTTATCCTGTTCTGCAGTCCAAATAGGGGAGGCCCCTCCACTGGCAAATTCCAAGCTTTGTGCACCTCATCCTGAAATCCCTCCTTACCGGGCCATCTTGAATCAAATGTAAATCTGTTCTTCCTTCTACTCATAGGCAAACTGGTGTCCATAAGCAGTAGACAATGATCTGAACTTGTGAGAGGAATGTGGGTGACTTGAGTATTAGGAAAGTCTAAGAACCAACCCGGGGAGCATAAAATTCTATCAAGCCTTTCTTCTACAAACTCCACTCCTTGCCTATTATTAGCCCAAGTAAAAGGATGCCCGCTAAATCCCACATCTACCATGCCCATGTCCCTGATGAAGTCTCTAAAACACTGAAAACTCCCTTCATCTCTAGCTCTACCCCCCTGCTTCTCAGAATTAGACACAATGTCATTAAAATCACCCCCAACAACCCACTTATCTCCCCACCCACCCTTCAAACTAGACAAAACACTCCACTGATCAGCTCTGATCTTATTATCAGTGCTAGCATAGAGGAAAAAAGCCCAAAATCTATCAGAACAACCGGATTTAGAAAAACAAACTTCCATACCAAAACCCAAAAGGTTGACAGTTATCACAAAAATATTACTAGACCAAAACAAAAGCATGCCACCTTTATAACCAATAGGATCTATCACTATCCATCTATCTCCTACTTTGAGATTTCTACAAACAGTAGTAATAAAGTTTTTCTTTTTTTTTGTTTCAGAAATGAACACAAAATCTGGGAGGTGGGATCTAACAATCTCCTTCAATTGGGAAATTGTAGAGGATCCTCCCAAACCTCTACAATTCCACAAGCAAAGCTTCATTTGGAAATTTGGGACCAGTTATGGCTGGTTTCCTCCACCACATTGGACTGATTAGGCAACAAACTGGTTTCAAATTCAACAGCTTTGATTTTTTTACAAGGCACCCAAGCATTAGTATCCATATTATCATATTCAGACAAGCTCCTTTTATTACAAGTATTTATGACATTCAAAACAGTAGGGCTACAAGACTTTTTATCTGAATTAACTGAGATAGAGACCTCTTTGTTTCTGTGAATTCTAGTAAAAGTGGTCTTATTTTTCTTCTCAGCAAGATTTTTCTCCTTATTCACCCCCTGCTGGGCAGTGATAGACACTAAGTTTCCAGTGGATTCATTAGCAGTAGTACTCAGCTTAGATGTCTCCAAGCCTTTGTCTCCCAATTTAGGAGACTGAAGTTTAGATATGACCAGTTTTGAATCAATATTATTGACAGGTTTATCAGTATCATCTGAAAGATTTTGGACTTCAACCTCCATGGGGGACCTCCTAATGCTACCCTCTCCTATCTCCTTGCTATTATTCCCCCCAGAGACTTGACTAGGCCTAACATCTATCTTGGGCTCCTGACTAATCCCTGAACTCTCCCTTCTAATTTTAACACCTAAAGCTCCCCCTGGGTTAGCTCTTAGCCACTCCCCATATTGTCCCACATTCAGCACTCTATTTTTAATATCCTCCTTTTTCTTGCTGCAGTTCCTATCCCCGTGCCCAATCTTGCCGCAATAAAAGCAAAAGGTCTGAAGGTTTTCATACCTGAAGGACACCCAGTGCGATTCCCCTTTAAATTTGATGTTCGTGCCTCGGGGAATAGGCTCTGACAAATCCACTTCTACTAAGATTTTTATGAATCTTCCATTAACACTTCCAGTATCAGGAATAAACACTGTCAGTGCCTCCCCAAAAATTTTCCCTACTTTGAGACCTGTTTCCTCTGATATCCAGTGAAGCGGAAGGTCCAGGATGTGAACCCACAACTCCACTTTATAATCTTCATCGTTAAATTTGGTATCTGCACGGTTCCATTCCTTCAATAATAAGTATTGGCCATCAAAGCTCCAGGCTTTCCCTTTTAGGACTCTCCGCTTGTCTTCCTCCGATTGGAAGATAAATTGAAAAAGATTATGCCCCAATATTCTGATCGTGAATGGCTTTTGCGTATCCCAAATGGAGAGCAACATGTTTTTCAGTCCTCCGAAATTCGCTCTTTTGTCTCCATACAACCTTCCAATTAAGCTGATAGCACATTCTTGTATCCCCGTTTCTATGTCATCATCTCCCAACTCCACTCCATTTTCTTCCCTTTTCGAAAGATCAAATTTTTTGAGCCGGTCGACTATGTCCTGATCCATATCTCCTCACTGCAGCACCCTTCGAACAAGCCAAGATCTCACACCTTCCTATTTTCCAAAGAGAAAGTACAGGCCTGAGGGAAAATAAGAGAACTGATAAGAAAAAAAAGAAAAAGGAAAACAGAACAAAGAAACCCTAGAACAGACAGAGTAGGATACTAATAAATTGATATTTGGAAGTTCCCATCGAGACAAATCAAATCCTGCGAGAAAACACTGGAAAAAGGAAAACGAGAAGAAAGGAGAACACTAAGAACACCCTGAGAACCAGGACCAGAAGATCCAGAGAAGACGATGGAACTACAGTGCTCTAGAGAGAGAATTATTTTTTCCAACAAGTGGAACTCAATTATTCTGGGGTGAATGCCCTTGAATTATTCTGATCGTGAATGCCCTTGAAGATGGACCTGGGGTCAGTATTTATACACAAAAACAGTGATGGCACATTAAATGATGGACGCCAGCTAGGGGCGTATGTAGGGTGGCTGCTCGTGTTCACAGGATTTGATGAGACGGATTGGGTGGTGCCACCAGCTTTACCAGATCACTTTTCAGACTTGAAGGGCGACCGGCTGGCCGATCAGGGAATCAACAACCGTGACCCTACAATATTGGGTCACTCGCGAAATATAGTCGATCTTGTTTAACATGTTTGGGTTTCCAGCCTTAGGGAGTTTTTGTGATCAGAAGCCTTAGATACAACATAGAGACCCCTAGGTTTTCAAGTAGAGAAGGATCGTTGAGCTGCGTGAAAACTATATCTTGTAATCTTGTCGACGCCCTTCGTAGTCGACCACATGACGATTATATTGAGGGAGAATGCTACCATCCCGTTACGGGATGGTTCCGTTGTGTTTTTAAGCGTTGAATTAACTATCCATCACTAGATTACATGTATATTTATGGCTAGAAAACACAACGGAACCATCACGCAACAGGATGGTAGCATTCTCCTATATTGAGTGGATAAGAAGTTCTCCATAATTTAATAATGGGGTGTAATATGATTATATTGAGTAGACATGTCTCTTGGAATCTAAGCCTTTAACGAGACAAGACGCAATGATTGGATGATCGTATAGCAATAGGAGATACATTGTCGCGTTTTTCAGTGTCACTCAAGATTTGAATTTTTGAAAAATCATGTCGCAACCTTTTTTTCTCCTTCTTCTATCCTACTTTGTAAGATTTAGAGAATCGGGCAAGAGGGTGCGGTCCCACGCAGATGAAGCGCAACACGTCACTTCACTTGTGAGTCCTTGATAAGCCCAAGCCCACTTCAGGTCGAGTAGAGATAAAGGCCCAGGCTGAAGTTGGTCTGGCTCTGATAACATATAAGATTTAGAGAATCGGGCAAGAGGGTGTGGTCCCACGCAAATGAAGCGCACCATAAGAGGGTGGGCGTGGGTACACTAAAGTGAAGTTCCATCCTAAAATCAATTGGTGATTGGAGGAATAGCCCACTAGGCATATAAGCTAGCAAAGATGGAGCCACATCCCCCTATATATTAATACAGAACGCGCTGAGCCTACGTGGCTGCTTCTGGTGCTTCGGAATCCTATGTGGCAAAATTACATGTTTCGTTATTAGGTTTGGATAAATTTTAATTTAATTCCAAACCAAAAATAATTAGGTTCGGCCATGTTAATGTATTAATTGTATTTTAATATTATTCCTTATTATAACTATTGAATTGTATATATATTTTAAAAGTTAATAACTTTTGTATTTTTTATCAGTTTTACATATGTAATATATCAAATTAATCTTCTTTTGATGAGCTTCGATTTAACATCCATATTGTATGTATAAAAAAAATATAGTTATCTTTATAACAATAATAAAATTATTTTTAATATTAATTAAAAAAATAAAATTATTTATCAACTAATATATTTATATTTCAAATAGTTATATGATATAAGTTATAACAACTAACATAATATAATAAATGTAAGTCATAAGTAACATATCTCATTCTAAAATATATAGTAATATTTTTTTTGTAACTAAATTTAATTTAGTTTTTTCATTAATTTTAAAATTTAAGAATATTTTTTTAACAAACACCCGTGTAATACACGGGTGTTGTACTAGTTAGGCCCTGAATTTAAAAAAAAATTTAATATATATATATATATATATATATATATATATATATATAAAGAAACTATAAAATATGTACAAAAGATATTTACCATATATTAATAATTAAAATTATTAAAAGTAATATATGTTTAGAAATGTAAGAAAATATTTACAATATATTAATAATTAAAATTTAATTCCTATGCTATTTTTATTTAAACTAATAAAATTATTTATAAATTCGTCACAACAAGCTAGTCCAATTTTACTATAAAATCAATGTGGGACAACTTAAAAGTAATATTCCAACATACTTTGAGAAAAAAAAATAAAAATAAAAATAAAAGTAATTATGCATCACATGCACCACTAGTAATGTAAGAAAAAAGTCTTCCTTAACAGAGGAGTAGGAATTGCATGTTGAAAAATCGCTTTATATTGCAAGTGTTGGACAAAAAGTAAAAACAGGCCATATACTTTTGAAAACATTGTAAAAATACTATTTTGAAAAAAAATATGAGGTTTTACTTTAATAATTACTATATTTTAATAAAAATTACTAAGACTGCAGAGCATGGTAATATGTATGAAACGAAGACTCAAATCTTCACTTGTTCAAAAGCTTCTTCATATTATCACACCCAAAAAAAAATCTTCAAACAAAAAATCATCACTTCCCTAAAAGATACTTAAAATTTTCCCATCACAACATCACTATTATTCCTCTTATTCCCATCATTTTCCACTTCATCATCCCAAAACATCCAAATTGGAGCCTCTATCAATGCAACCAAAAGCTCCAACCCATGGCTTTCCCCTTCTGGAGACTTTGCCTTTGGCTTCCAACAACTCCAATCCAACAACAACAACGACCATCTCGTGTTTGTTCTCTCGATATGGTTCGCTAAAATCCTTCCAAAAACCATCGTCTGGTTCGAACGAAGCAGCTACCCTGTGCCACTTGGCTCCACCTTACTGCTCGACGCAGATAAAGGCCTCGTGCTCCGCGATCCTCACGGCCGGCTACTTCTCAAAACCCCTCATCTCGCCAGTCGAGTGGCTTACGCGTCCATGACCGACACTGGAAATTTCGTTCTCTTCGGAAAAGACTCGAATACCCCTCTGTGGCAGAGCTTTGAGAATCCTTCCGACACGATTCTCCCGAGTCAAAAGCTCGATATCAACGGCTCCACCACGCTCGTCTCGCGGAAATCGGAGACAGATTTCTCGTACGGAAGGTTCTACGCCGGGATGAACGCGGCCGGCAATTTCGTGCTCGAAACGAAAAGCGTGCGCACGAATTTGGATTCGGACTACGAGTATTACAACAGCGACCCGAACTCGGGCGATTTTCTTGTGATCGACGAGAATCATCCTTCCATTTCAATTGTTAGTAGTAGTAAACAAAAAAACGCACGACGAACAACGGTCGTGATTCCCGGTCCAAATCATCTGCTGCCCTCGGACTCGGAGTATTATTTCAGGGCTACGCTCGATCACGACGGTGTTTTTGCCTTTTATTATCATCCTAAGTATTGTTTGTAATTGATGTTGCATGCATCAATGCACTTGTAACATCCACTTAATGGTGGAGTTGTTACTCACCTCCATTATGTATGGAGTTATGAAGTTAAGCTTAATTAAAGATTTCATTAAATGAATAGTTGTATGATGACAACTATAAATTGATGCTTTGTACATCTTCCAAAGGAAACAATACGAAACAAGAAAACAAGTTGAGTTTATATCATTACAAATAATCTTTAAGTGCTTTCCTCTTGTTGAGCCGAAACCATCACAAGGCGGCTCGGGTTTTAGAACGTGGAGGATACCGACGACTCGAGTAGCCGTCGGATAAAAGATATACGGGCAAGTAATCGCTTCCGCTACATAAAGGTTAGTCCTATATATATTTATATATGTGTTATATAAAACCACTAACACTAAGAAAATCGACAACAATTCGGAGTGGGTCTATGTGGGTAGCTTACCCGATCACAACATATGTCTCGATATCTATGGCGACACGGGCAGTGGGGCCTGCGGGTATAACAATGTGTGCAATCTCGTGAACTGGCGGCCCGTTTGTCGCTGCCCGAAAGGGTTCACGCTAGTCGACCCGAGTAATCCTTACGGGGACTGCAGGCCCAAATGTTCGGGGAATAGCTGTACTCAGGGCGGCCCGGAGGATTACAAGCTGGTGGAGATTTCGAATGTAGACTGGCCGAAAAACGACTACGAACAGATAAAACCGAGCACAGTGGGGGAGTGCAGGGATGCTTGTATAAGGGATGAGTTTTGCGGGGCGGCCATATTCAGGAGCCTGAGCTGCTGGAAAAAGCGGCTGCCTTTGTCTAATGGGAGAAATGAGACAGCTTTAGGTTCCAAGGCCTTTCTTAAGGTTAGGAAAAACTGTTAATTGAATGGATTGGGTCACTTCATGTAGTCTTGTGTTTTTGGCTTTTGGCTTGTAATTGTTAGTGTCTGGTAATAGGCATCTACTCATTTTTATTTTTTTTAATATATTTGTTGGTGTTATAGTCAGTATATTTTTATGTTTGATTTTTAATATAATTATTTAAATAATTTTATTTGCCTTATTTAAAAATACACGAGCATCAAAATCTTGTGCAAGACAAGACGACCATTAGAATAATTTTAATATATGTTCATTTTATAGTCAGTATATGTTTAACATATGTTGCGATTTTATTTACATAACATAACCACAATTATGATGTTTTGATTTTTGCTTATATTTCTTGCATGTATGTTCGGAAAGCAAAATTCTTGAGGAAGCAAAAAGTTTTTTCTTTTTTTTTTTTTTTT